AAAAAGTCCTTTTTTAAAAACTTACTTTACATCCACATTTCAGAGCCAGCAGTCAGACTACTATTTATTTTTATAACAGTTTTATCAAGATATAATTGATATAACATTCAAATCACCCATCTAAAGCATATAATTCAATAGTTTTAAGGATATTCACAGAATTGCGCAACCATCACCACTGTCGATTCAGACCACCATTTATAATAAATACATATTTAATTTCTAAACTATACGTGTATGTATATACGTGTATACAAATGTGTGTATACATATGTATGTGTATATACACATATGCATTCCCAGAGAGAGATCAATCTCCTAACTTTTCCATTTCTATAATGACTTAAAATTAAAAGCTGAAGTTCTTTGCCTCCTCAAACTGAGCCAACTGAGATTATTTATAATGATTTTACATACAAATAACAAGGAGATAAAAGAAGTGATAATCTATTTAGTCATTTAAAAAGTCATGGCAATGGTCACAGAAGGATGGTCTCCAGGGTTAGTGACCACAAAGGGAAAGTAGAGCCCTTCTGCAAACATGACAGGTCTTTCTCTGAATCACCCCATGTGGACAAATCCACACCACTGACCGTAAACATGTAGAAATGCCCTTCGAGCACACAGCCCCAGGGTTCCGAATAATAGATTACAGTAAAGTCACAAAGTTAGTAGGTGTATTTCCAATGAGGTCTTTCAGAGATGAGCTAAGATGCTGTCACAGCTCACATGGTTCACTGACTAGGACTGATGTGATAAAAATCATCCACATCTTTGGTTTTCATTTCTTTGTTTATCACAAAGATGTTAGAGCAGCTATTGTTATTAGCATGTGGTCCCGGTCCATCCATCATCAGCAGCAGCTTCATGACAAATGAGCAGCAGGTCTCCACTGCAGAGGTGAGGTCACACTAAATAGGCCAAGTGCCTATGCTCCAATGTCACATTTGTGATGTGGCTGCATCCCCCACAGCAACAACCAATAGCAAAAGTGAAAGAACCTTCCTCAAGTCAAAACGAGCAGAGGTCAGACCTTCCCGAGACAGTCAATGACTCCTTGTGGGCAAATCAACTCCATATCTGTCTCCTCCTGTCCTTCTTTACTCCTACTATGGTCACTGTCCACCTCTCCGTGTAGAGCGAATAAACATGTGTCCTGGTGTTAACTGAGCATCTACTACAAACACAGTATTTGTGGTCATGACTTCAGTTAATCTTCACAACAACCCTGAGAAACCCTACCTTTTCATCACCATTTCACCATGGCTTAGGGAGTTTAAGTGTCTCATTCACAGTCCCAAAGCCAAGACTTTGAAAAGGATACCTGATTTTGAGTTCTGACCCTTCCCACAGCACTAAAGCTGCCTTCTGTGACTGTGATATGTAGAGCTCGTGTCTCCTCCCCGGGTTCCTTTCTTGAGTCCCCCTTCTCCCACCACAAACCCTAGCGCTAGCTTGCAAGCTCTGGCTCAGAGAGCTGAGTGACATGGTACTGGCAGTTGCCCCGCTCCAGCCCCCATTATGCAATGCCAGGGCTTCCTGATCAGAAATTCTCACTGCCAGCCACTCAAGAAGCCAAGGCTTGGGTGTGGGAGGGTTCTCTCTGACCTATGACTTCAGGGCTAAAGCCCTTATCCTTCTACATCACTACTGTTTCTTCGTAGATCATCATAATACTGTTCAGCCTTCTGAGTTCTGTTCTACCTCTGCAGAGTGCTATCTTTCTGTGTGTCATTAAAGAATTAAAAACTTAAGCCAAAAGAAAGTTGTAATTATCTAATACATGCCAGGCACCATGGTAGACACCTGGGGAAAATATGTTATTTAACACATGGGCCCTGCCCTTATTAAAGGAGCTCACAGGAAGGTACATAACATGCACGAGGCAAATACTGAAGACCGTGTGTGGTATAGCTATAATGTTATAGCATTATTAGGTAGAGGAGTCACAGAAAACTGTAATGAAGCTGAACGGTGAAAGGAAAAGTTTTTAAGGAAAACAGAAGCAATGAGCACTGCAGGTGAGAGGAGCAACAGGACCAAGGTATGCATGTATTCATTTGACAAATATTTACTAAACACCATTTCTCTAATATCTTGGTTCCTGCATGAAGCTCCTTCCACTAGACCAGCACTCCCTCAAGTTGCAGCTTAAAAAAAGAAACCTGTTGAATTTCATTAATTAATATCATCACAATAAAGAAGATTTTTAAACACATTAAGTCTCATTTCCCTATTTACAAAAAAAAAAAAGACAGACAGACAGACAGACTGACCAGTGATCAAAGAGGCCTGAGAATGCTGCATAGCGCAGCCCTCTTTGGCGACCTAAGGATGTATACTAGCATACTAAAGGTTCTGAGAAGTCCTGCAGTAAAGAAACCTTTTCAGTGTTGTTTAACCTGGACTTTCCAAATCTACTTGACCACAGAACCCCTTTTCTATACTTGACACCTATTTCCATCCTGAGAAACTACTGCTCAAGGGAACACACAGGAAACACTGCCATGCATCAGGGAAGGAAGGCAACTTGGGGTCGGTGACAAATCTGTTTGGGAGCTAACTCTGGCTACATGAGGTGACAGCAGCAACAAAGGAGATTAAAACCTGCTGACAGGAAGAGTCGACAGACCCTGAAAAAGAATTAGTCTGTGATCGATTTCAGCTAATGAGAAGAGGTAACTGTAGTGCAGGAAATATAAGGCAACAAACCAATGACACATGTATGAGGCAATGACAAGTTTAGAGGATAAACCCACCCAAAGAATGTATGAGCGAGTAAATGGTATTTTACATTTCTATTGTTCTAAAACTGTTACTTGAGGAAAGACCTTATGTATCAGATTATCATCTATATGATATTTAAGTCAGAGATCACAGTTTCTGCCTTTCAAGTTTAGGCTGCTAGCTCATAACGATTCAGTCAGTCACCTAGTGCTTATGATTTACAAGGCACTCACAGATGCCTGCTCTCACCACAGACACTAGAAGCAGAGAACTTCCCAAAGTGGCAAAGCCTGGAATAGAGACCTAGTCTTCCATCCCTTCCTGTTCCTTCTACTCCAACTGTGACAGCCCTAGTCTCAAATGTCCTATTATCTTCCCAAGACAATCAAAATATCTCAGAAATTATACTTCAAGATCCAACTCATCTATCCCCTCTGGAGGGACAGAAAGATCCCTTTTTTGCTCAAATTCCTTTTGGCAAACACGGGCAACTTAATAGATCACAAAATTTTCAGAAAACTTGCAATAATTATTTGGAAAATTTATACAAGGCAATAGAATATGCTAAATAGTTTTTGTCCATCCAGGTTAAAAAACTAAAGACAGCAACTGCGCTCCCTAACGAGTAGAAACACACATACACACAATCTAAAGTGGCAGCAAACACAACAAATCATTTATTTTTGGCTTTGAGCTCTACTTCTTTACTTAAATAGAGCTCAGTCTTAAGCCTGAAGAAAATCATTTCTCCCCAGGTAACGAAACCGTATTTGGAAAACCACGATTCTGCACTCCTCTCCCACACAATTCTTCCCTGCCACTCTCAGTGACAGTAGATGCTTTGAGAGCTCCTTTCTGGCTGCCACGAAACATCAGCCCAACAAAGAGGCTGTCTCAAAAGTGTGCAGGTGGGAAGGAAATTTCAGGTACATCAGCTGTTACACATGTGCCAGAGAGTACAGGGAAGTCAAGATCTAATACCTACAGCACTGGTTCTCAACCTAGGGTGATTTTACCCTCTTCCCCCGCAGGGGACACTGGGCAACATCTGGAGACATTCTTGGTTGTCACAGTGGGAGGAACGGTTGTTACTGGCATCTGGTGGGTGTAGGCCAGGGATCCTGCTCGACATCCCACAGGGCACAAGACAGCCCTTACCAGAGTCATCTGGCCCAAAGTGTCAATAATACTGAGGTTGAGAAACCCTACACTAAGTTAACAAAGTGAACAATGAAAATGATATATGAGCACTGTCAATAAACCCGAACACAATAATTACACAAAGCAACTGGATAATAGGTACTATGGATTCTGATGCAGTGAAATAATCTGGACCTCCCAGCCGACCACCACATTAAGATGCTTGTTAAGCTTAAATAGCAACACAGCTAGTTTTTAAATCTGTTAATGAATGTGAATAAAAAGGAACACATTGGTTTAAAGCCATAACAGGCCATCATCCTGACCAATATATCTGTGTTATTTGAGAACACAAAACAATGAAATGGATATATGTTAAAACTGTCTCGCTCTTTTTTTAAAAAATGGAAATGGCAAATATTTAAACTATAAAAATAAATAAGAGGTACCAGCAGGAGAACAAAATTGAATATGAAAACTGAGGAACAGCTCATAAACTAGAGAGAGTTCATATGCCCAAGGTCCATCATGTTAATTCTTTGGTAGTTTATTATGATAGAAATAGGTA